GTGGCGTGTGTTTGCATCGGGCCTAATCAGACCTATTAGAAGCCATCCGAAGGTTTCCCGATATTTAACAGGCTCGTATCCCCATGGGCTGTCGAAAAGTGTTAACCGATCGCAGAGTTTTTATATTCAACAATACGTTGGTGAACAGCTCCACACCTTCACCAACGTATTGTTAAAATAATTATACGTTTTATAGTTTATTACTTATCCTTCAGATTGCGTGATTTCACGGCTGGAAATGGCTGGTATTTCGCTGGGACAGTAACCTTTAATTGCACTTATTATATACTTCCGAAGATAATGTATAATTATACACAATGTTGATCCCCGGACGTACAAGGGAGGGAGGGCTGACTGCCAGCCCCCTCCATAAAATTTTCCAAAGTTTTGAAAAGACGATTTACTCTAAGTGGCTGAAACTTTCAGTAGCTGTTTCTTAATTCTCTCCCAAAATTCTGCTATGTCAGTTGGGTGTTCATCTTTTATGACGTTGTCATGGCAACCATCAAATTCCATGCAGGTCTGACCAAAACTTTCCTTGAGGTAACTCTGTAGCTTTTTCCGGTTTTCTTCATGAAATTGGAGAAATTCATGAATTTATTCATTTCATAAGCATTTTAGTTTGATTTTGTGTTAATTTCGGTTATTTCTAGACTTTTTTAAAAAATAGTAAAATCCAAGATGGCTGGTCAAAGATGGCGGATCAAATGACGTCATTTGACGTCATATGGTGTCACTACCAATAAAACGGTGTCATCTTGTAGAGCAAGCTCAGGGCTATCTAATCAAATGTATATTTATTTCGCTCTGCCTTATAGTGCTACTATGATCAAAAATTACTTCTGTTTCTTTTTCGATAAATCAAGAGTATTTATGTTAAATAAATACCATGCCAAGTTTCAAGTCTTAATGCCCAAGAAAAGTAAGATTATTTGAGCGACAATTTCTGTCTTTGACTTCCCGCCATTACAAAATTCAAATGTGGCCGGGAACCACTGAGAAAGTTGGGGCAGGAGGGGAAGTGACGTCATCCAATCAAGACAGCGAAACTTGGTTTACTTTGGCAAGCGGAGAGTGAATTGCCAGTAAGGGTTTGCGTGTTCTTTTAAATAATAATAAATAATAGACGAAGAGGATCGAAATTAGAACTCAAATCGTCTATGACAAAAACATACCAGCTGGCCGTTGAGTTGTGTAGAATTACAACAACGGATCAAAGCCACGAAAAGGAATTTCTCAGCATAATTCTCCTCCACGCGGTAGTGTTGATTTGTATCCTCACGTCCGAAGAACTTGATCCAAACCGGCCGTTTTCCTTTTTGCGCGGAGCATTTCATCGATTATTGTTTTGCTAGGTCTCCTCAATCATGTCAAAGGCTCGATGAAACGCCTTGTGCAGGGCGCAATTCGATCAATGGAAAGGAAACGCGAAGACGATAGTTTTTTGAGTCATTCTTCCCGTGATCGTCGAATGGTGAGTGCAGTTAGCATGAATTGTGTTGTAAATATACAGTTACTTGTAGGTGCAATGAAACCGAAGATCAAACGTACTTCTCCTAAACTCAACCAGTAATTTGCAAATACAGACCATCGTTAGTTCAGTGACATATTTTTTCTGGGCCTCAATAATATATTCAATAGCACAGTATTCAATTTTTCTCTAAAATGACATGTCATTATAGCGACAAAAGTGATATAAAGTTCATTGTGACTTCAAAGGACCCTAGTCGGCCTCCTCCATTTTTTGAAATTATTGATATTGCATGGTGAAGTTAAATCTTATTGCTTTACTGTAAGTTGTATTCCTGAAAGCATGTTTAATTATCTTTAGTAGATAGTGATTTCCTTCGTTTCCACATGCTCCGAATAAAATATGATAGCCAAACTCTCGCATGCAAACAAAAAGAAAGGTGTGGCTGACCAGGGCCCTTTAAAGCTGGGGTCCTTGAACCGGGCCACTTGGAAGAAAATTGACCAATGAAAATTATAATTGAGAACAAAAGATAGCGGGTGTATTTGACAGTTCTTCAATAAAATTTGACATAAAAAAGTTAAAGTCATTATTGGTCTATTTTCTTGCAAGTGGCCAGGCTCAAGCATTATCGCAGCATCGTTCAAATCGGTGTGGGTTTTTTTCTTTCCTTTAGTGTGCTGGTGGCTGCGACTGCTAGCAACCTAAAACAAGCCAAGACGAGGTAAGAACTAACTTACCATCTTTCACCGTCAGAGGTAAAATCTATTCGCTAAATAATTTGATTGGACTTAATTGTAGTTATGTTGGGGGGGGGGGGTGTTTTATTTACAACGCATTTTCGGTAAACAACAACGAAAACGTAACAGTAACAGCAATTTTTGGGTGAATCACGTTGCACGTAACAAACACAATAAATCGGTTGTGACTCGAGCGACGGCTTCGTTTTTCTTTATTCCACGTAACTAAATTTGGACGCCGGAAAACCGAGTAAACCAACTTTGCCAATGCACTCTTTTGAGATGAATTGTTCACATTCATGTTAATTCACCTGGGCAGCTAAATAGCGTTTAACTTTTTTTGTGAATGGATTATTGCTTTTGGTGGTCGCAGAGACGTCCGACGCAAAACCCGATTAGAGCATTTAAATGCAGGTTATCGGGTGTAAACCTGGGCCCGTTACAGTCCGGACATTTTTTGGTCAAAATAAGTGGGAAAAGATCTGAATGTCTTTCTTATAAGTAAGTAAGTAAGTAAGTTAATGGAAACTGACAAGGAAGAAAACAACCTTTGTGAACTCAGCTGGGACTTATGATGGAGCGAAAAAAGCAGGGAGAAAAATTAACAAAGTGTCAGGTCAAATATAAATCGATAAGATATTAACGTGGAAGGCGATCTTCAAGCATGCGAAATCTAAATTCTGAAGATATCTATCATCAGGACTTTATAAGCTTTATCTTTCTGAGAATCTGAAACTTGTCACTGCAAGTTTATCTTGTCCTCAAAGTGTTCTCGTTGATTCCGGTTATCTAAGGTCACTGTTTCGAATTCAAGCCATCAAACTGCAGCCATGGCCGCGTCTTGTCCCTTCGTCTGATCTTTCAGCTCGGCGATCGCTTCCCGGAAAATATATTTTGCTCGCACTGAAATTGTACTGTTGTGTTCTCTTTTGTTAAGTGAGGTCTACACAGCCATTAGTTTTCCTTTGCAAGACAATCAACTGGACATTCGGTGAGGGCTGCATTACATTCTGAATCACACAGTCTTACATGCCAGTACCGCGTCTGTCAGTTGAACATTCGGTCTCTACTTGTCAACCTTTTACATGCAAAACGGATTCAAAGAAGTTTTAGGACCATATAAAATGCTGAAATCAATTGAATTTCTAGAGGTAGAAAAATGATGAGCTACAATGTCCTTAACAGTTGACTCTTGGAAGACTAGAAAATCCAAAAGCGTCATAATATTTAACAATTAACAGAAATAATATACACACTACGCCGGTTATATATAAACATTATAAAGTAACGCATGTTGTGAAAAACTTTGATTAATGTCTTGACGTTTCGTATGTTTCAACACACATCCTCAGAAGTGACGGTTGGATAGAATGGAAAGATTGGAACATAATTAACCGCGCGGCCATGGGCCGAGCGCGGTTCATGGTTTACCCGTGGTTTATTATTATTTTTTTTTATACTCGGGCTTTCCGAAGGAAAACGCCCGAGGTGTAAATTCGGCTCCATTTTTTTTTTTTTTTTTTT